GGGCTGTAGCAGGCAGGAACTCTGTTCCTTCACGCACTGGTGTAAATAGGGTTTTAAGTAATAAAACCCAGAAGTCAGATATAGGGGAAAATGCTGAGAGATCAGAGAGAAGGAGCAAGCCACCGCCACACCTTACCTCCTTAGCATCTCAGCAGACCAAGAGAGCGATTTCCTGTTTCTCTCTGCTTATATCCTGTTTCTGCCCAGTTATCTAATTGCTGTCTGTCTGTACAGACCTCCAGACCTCTGTGGTTAGCTAGTGGTAAGCTCCATTCTCTGATTCTCAGACAGGTTTTATTTGTGCAAGCAAGCTATCACCACACACCAGCTCTCTCAAAGCCACTAAGGGAAACTTTATCTAGATTTCTATCCCTCTATAGAAATCAGGATTGGAAAGTTGAGGTGAAATTTTACTAGCTCAGAGAAGCTGAATTGCATGTGGCTAACCCTCTCTCCTTGTTTGTCTCTCCAGAAAACTGAACGAGATCTTCCTAATAGCTCCCACTTAAGAACACTCTCCACACCCGGCTCCTCCCTACCACTTCCTGTCAGCTACGTGCTGACTCAGCCTCTTGACCACAGGTTAATTTTATTTAATCAAACAAATGGAACATGTTTTTGCATTATAAACAAAAGCAGCAGAAAGAAATGTAATACACCTTAAAAGAATATTTTACAACAAAAATTAAACATGGCATTTACAGGAAAAGGGATATAATTGGAGACCATTATGTTAAGAAAAAAGTCAATTTCAAAAAGAAAAACACTGCGTGTTTTTTTTCTCTCTCTCGTATATGGAATCTAATAAAATGACATATATGTACATTGCATGTTTGTAGGTTACAGAATTAAAAAGTATAACACATATGTAATATAAGATACCATGATGAAATCCAATACTTACTAAGCCAATTCCCAAATATAACAATATTTTCTGCCATAGGAAATGGTAGCTTGTCTGATAAAAGGTTCTTTTTCAAAATATAATGAAAGAAACAAAAATAAGGTAAGGTGAGCTACAAAAGGTTTCAGCCTTAATTTTTTTTTTTTACGAGACAGCGTTTCTCTGTATTGTTTTGGAGGCTGTCGGTCCAGCCCAGCTTCGAACTCACAGAGATCCGCTTGCCTCTGTCTGCCAAGTGCTGGGATTAAAGGTGTGCACCACCACCGCCTGGCCAGCCTTAATTCTTACAACAGAAAAGAGCCTGAAGTAACAGGTGACAAGTTACACAATAGTGACAGCCATCAATCACAAGTGATAACGCCAGTGATATATGATAACTGAAGTAACCAAGAAAGGTTTCCATCATTAATAACTCACGTGGCCAAGAAAGTTTTATTGCAAATTGTGTGTGGCAAACCGGGCGGTGGCGGTGGCGGTGGTGGTGGCGGCGGCGCACGCCTTTAATCCCAGCACGCGGGAGGCAGAGGCAGGTGGATCTCTGAGTTCGAGGCCAGCCTGGTCTACAGAGTGAGTTTCAGGACAGCCTCCAAAACAATACAGAGAAACCCTGTCTCGAAAAAACAAAAAACAAACAAACAAAAAATTGTGTGTGGCGGTTTGAATAAAAATGACTTCCACAGACTCATATATTTGAATGCTTAGTCTCTAGGGAAGGAACCTGTTTGAAAGGATTACAAGGATTAGGAGGTGTGACATTGTTAGAGTAGATGTGGCTTTGTTGGAGGAAGTTTGTCCCTGGGGCAGGGCTTTGAGGTTTCAAGAGCTCATGCCAGACCTGGTGTTGCCCTCTCTGCCTTATGGATCAGGATATAGCTCTAAGCTACGTTGTCTGCCTGCAAGCCACATGCTCCCTGCCCCGATAATAATAGACTTAGCCTCTGGAACTGTAAGAAAACCCCCAATTAAATATTTTCTTTTATAAGAGGTGCCTTGGTCATGGGGTCTCTTCACAGCAATAGAAAAATAGAGTGACTAAGAAGTTGCCTGGATGATAAGAATACAAAAATTCTTCAGTAATGAAGATGGTGGCTGAAAAGATCAGTTTTGGTTGAAAAACAAATTCGGATGAGGGGAAAAAGGGTTGCAGTTATAAGTAATAATTTGGGTGTTTGAAGAACGATTTTTTTAGTTATTAGTGGTAATAACACAATGAAGTTTTCTGTTTATAGGTATGACTCAAGTGATGAAGAATGGCTTTTCAGTAAAAATGATAACTCTATCAATTAAAAAGAGAAGTCATAACTGAGATTTCAGATTATAGAGAAAGAAAGGTTTGTCATGAAGGCAATCCATGTGATGTGGCAGGTTTTCAGTCTGACCAGAAATGACTTAGCTGGTGTCTAACTGTGAATTCCAAGTTATAATTCAGCAATAGAAAAATGTTATCTAGTCAAAAATGATAATTCAGGTCATAAGAGAAAAATGGTTTGTAGAAACAAAAACTCAGATAAAGATTTCTAATCATAAAAGAAAGTTTATACATTAGAAAAATTTTCAGCCCCAAGTTAATGATAATTCAGGTGATACTCAAAAACAAAGCCCTCAAGCCACAATAAGTCAGGTGACAGAGAAAGAAGGAATTCAGTAATAAATTATGACCTGGTGATAAAAATGTCAGTCACAAAAGATAATTCAAGTGATAAAGGTTTTTGGTAACTAACCCTGAGTCAATGACAGACACGGAAAGGCCTTAGTCACAGATGATCTCTAGGCTGGTAGATATGTTAGGTTTCTTGTCAGAGTTAAGTATAACTCAGGTGATAAGACATTCAACATTTCAGTCAAAAATGTCAGTTGATATCAAGAGAAGGAAGCTTTCCAGGCACAAATAACTTGACAGATAAAGGAAGCTTCTGGGGCTTGGAGGGTCACCAAAGGCAGAATGCTTACACAGCATGCAAATAACCCTGGGTCCCAGTCATAAATAATAATTCATTTGAGGAAAAAAGTGTGCTATAAAAGAAAAAACAAAAGATAAAGTACCAATCACACAGGACAACTCAAAGTCAAACCTGGGTTCCTGAATAGACCAAGGGACAAAGGAAGGGTTCGGTCACAAGTGACAATGCAGACAACAGACACATTAGGTCCTAGGCTCAATGGTTAAGAGTATTTGCTGCTCTTGCAGAAGATCCAGGTTTAGCTCCCAGCACCCATCAGGTGTCTCACAACTGCCTGTTCCGGAGGGTCTGACACCTGGCCTCTGCTGGCAGCAGGCATGTACATGGTACACAGGCACACATTCAGGCAATCACACACACACATAAAATACTGGAGGGGAGAAGGGAGGAATTCATAAGCAGCATGCCCAGGCAACTTACAAGATTCCCATCTCCATCACTGAGTTTATATAAGCAGCCAACAACTGCTAGTGGAACTTCCTGCAAGCTGCTCAAAAACTCCAATGATAAGTTTTCATAAATGGCCAGCCATGATGGAGTGGGGCTTTTAATGGCGATGTAGCGGTCCAAGTCACAATTCTTCTGTAAGTTATGCCCCCAACACTGATTTCCAAAGCTGTATTTAGATGAAATAATTTCTTTGGTCTCCCAATCATGCCCAGTCTGGGGTGAAAAGTTGTTTGCTCCTATCTCCCAGGAAAAGTCACACATATAGATGACCATCCATGTCCTTGCACTGAACACACAGAACCAGGAAGAAAGGGCTGCAGCTGATGACTGGGCTGAGAAAAACTTCAACGATGCTCACACCTCCTCCCTGGTCCTGCCCATTTGCAGAATGATATTGCCCTCTGCTGGTCTGAGAATGTCAGATTGAGGCTGTCAGACCATCTCTCCCCAGAGGAGCTCTTCCCTATCCATGCCTCTCCAACTCATGTCCTTGCTCTTCTAAGAACCCTTCAGTCCACACCTAACCTCTCTGTTCTCCTCAGTTCCCAGACCTCACCTTTCTCCCTGGACACTTGGATGCTGGATATCTTAGTAGTAGGAAGACGTTCCTTGGAAACTCTATGGAATGACCCTCCCTCAACCTTTCCTCACCTTTGTGCCTTCAGACCCCACTCATCGTCTTCGGTTGTGAGAAAGTGTCCAAAGGGTTAGGATACGTCATAAGGGCTGGCTAGACGGAAAATGGAGGGGCCAGTAGCAAGGGGGTCACAGCCAAACACATTAAAAAATGGTATGTCCCTCCATGCATTTTCTGTATTTGAACAGGTTACATACCCCCAGTATCTGCTATGGTCATTAAGTATACCCATTAGCACAGGTATTTACTCTAAATCATTTTCAGGAATGTCCTAGTCTTGCCAGGTAGAAGCAATTGCCCTGATTGCTTGGGCCTATGGTAGAGCTAGTCTTCCGGGTCCTGAGGGCAAGGAGAAGCTCAGGAGTCCCCTACCACTGCTGGATGGCTGGTCCTGGTTCTGAGGTGTTATCCTATTCATGAGAATGACTGATGTTATCCAATTTGCTGTGTTTTTGTATCAAGACCATGCTGTTTTCTTTTGAACTGACAATTTTCTTTTTCAAGAATTTGTGTAGAGCTTTTGTTACCTTTATTTTTTCTTTCCACTTTGTTAGCTTCTAAGGTAAGAGAATGGTGTAGAAGCTTCTTCAGCAAGTCCACGCATGAGAATAGTCAGAACAACAAAGAACAGATTGTTTCTAAAAAGAGGAAGAATACTGGGGATCATGCAACAGAGTAGATCAGCTGGAAACCCTGAAAAGCACAAATCAATAGAAAGGATGCAGAGAGAAGCAGGAAGTAGCCCACTACTCCAGCCATAGTTCCAGCCTCAGCTTCCCAGGGGAAAGTGAAGCCAAAGCACCCACGGAGCCCAGGAATCAATGTCTGTATCAGGAGGTAGAGTTGAGTTGACAGGCTGTAGCCATGGCCTGTGGTGTCTCAGAAACACTGCTCCTAAACCTGAGCAGTGTGGGTCTGCTCCTGCCAATGACACAACCATACTGTGAGGTCCTCGGAACATAGTAGATTTAACGGTGTGTGAGCACACCAGTCATTATGAGTAACAGTCACAGCATTTGAAGCAGATATTACAATAAAAACGAGGGCATTCTGAAAACAAGTTTAATATTTAAAAAATTCCACAACAAAGGCAGGACTCCCTTTAAAAGTGGCTTCATATACAGAGCATCAATGCTGAACTACTTTTATCAGAAGATGAAGTAAAACATGATATTCTGTGAGGTGCAACACTTATTGACTAATTCTGTATTTGGCAACATGTCTTTTCACTTGAAATATGAAGAACATTACTGGAGAAACAAAACACTGAGCAGAAATTTCCACACTGTGCCTGCTTCAGCTGCCCATACAAAGCATGCCCTGCTCCTGTGAACACGACCTTTTCTCAATTTCTGTATCATAGGAACATGCCTTTCTCACCCATCACACAGCATCCTGTGCTAAGTGAAGCTCTCAGTCCAGAGAGCAACTGCTCCCTTCTGGCTTGAGCAAAGAACCTATCTTTCAGTGTTGTAACTGTGCACTTACTTAGCATCTCTTGTTCTGGGATAGCTGTTTTGATCTCCCTCTATTCTAAACAAATTTTGTGTTCTGACAGGCTAGAGTCAATGTTTAGATGGGTCTTTGCATAGACACAAACAGAATCTGAACTTTTAAAAACAGTGAAAAGGACAGGCAGCTCCTTTAAATATGCATTGTAAAATAACACAAAACAGTTTCCCTTTTGACAAAGTTTGCCCACCCCTCTCTGGCTTGCAGACCTACATGGTTTAGTGTAATTTCTGATACACACTGTGAGGTAGGTGGTGTCACCTACTAGCTGTCCATTGCAAACCACAGATATGGATGTCTGGGATCAAACACAAGCTGAAAGCTTCTTTTTCTCCTCAAACTGCTTGTCCACTGCCAGAGACAGGGCCTGGAGGAAAACCTCGATGGTGACGCTAGGAGCCTGAAAAGACACATGCCATCAATGAGTGGTCCTGAGCCTCAGAAGGGTTACCTGGCAGCTGCTTTTGTGGAGTTAGGAAGAGGCTCAGTTCTCTGTGGGCTAAGCAAGTCCATGACCTCTCAGGCCTACAACAGAGTACCCAGATGTGGTTTGTAAAAGATGATGTAACTTGCTGTTTCCTGCTGGTTAGAAAAGGCTACCAGAGTAGGCAGGTGAGACCAGCAGTCATCCCCCTGCTAAAAAAGAGGAACAGAACGTGGGGGCCTCAAGGACTGCCATTTTGGAACCTTTCCCAAAGAGCTCACCCAGTGTCCTGGAGCTGAGGCACAACATTGCTGCTTTGTAATTGTGAACACCATACAGTTCAGCCCCAAGATCTTCCCTCTGTGTCTGGCACTCATGTTCATGGCCCATGGGAGTTTCCTTGGTACAGAAGACCACACCTAGAATAGCAGCTGCCACCGGCAAGGCAGAAGAATGCCAAATAATGGATTTAAGAGAACTGTGTGGCTGATGGGCTTTGTGCTGGAGGCCTGGTCCTGGGCAGGTAAGGGAATGACTCCAGGTCACCACTGGTTGTAAACAGAACCCAGGCTCATGGGACACAGTACTGAGGAATGAGGTAGGCTCTAGACATAAGTTTCCAACACACCATAGTAAGTGTGTGCCTGTGAGTTATATATATATATGAATGAATGAGCCATTTCTTCCCAAATTCGCAGTGCCGATGATGGATAGTGTTGTCAAATGACAGAGTCTAAAATCATCAAGGAGACAGGCCTCTAGACATGTCTTTAGAGAGTTATCTCAGTTACATCAATTGTGGTGAGAAGACCTGCCCACTCTGTTAGCACCAGACCCTTGTTGGGGTCCTGGACTATGTAAATGGAAAAGGGAACTGTGCAGCACTATTTATTCATTGATCACTATCTGCTCCTTGATTGTGGACCAGCAAGCTTCAAGTTCTTGCTGCTTGAATTTTCACACCATGATGGTCTGTACTGTGAGGTAGAACAAACTCTTTCTCCCTTAAATTGCTTTTTAAAGAATACATCATAGCTAGAAAAGAAACTAAGATGCTACCCCAGAATCCTGTGAACAGTGTTGGTGAGAGACCTAGGTATCCAGCACACAGGGCCAAGGGAAGCTTACCTGGATGTAGAGTGCATGAGCCAGGAAAGGGAGTTTCCTCAGGACCCGGCCACTAAGGCCCTCGCTCTTCCTGTATAAAAACCACATTCATGGATGTCAACTTCATATACAAATATGCATGATTCAGAGATAATTTCCCTCTTTAAGGTGAACTGTGTGACCCTGGGTATAGCCTTGGCCTCAAAGACTACTGTCCTCAAACAAATAAAGCCAGGCAGTGGTGGCGCACACCTTTAATCCAGCACTTGGGAGGCAGAGGCAGGCAGATCTCTGTGAGTTCTAGGTCAGCCTTGTCTACAGAGCAAGTGCCAGAACATGCTAAAAAGCTACACAGAGAAACTCTGTCTCGAAAAACTAACAAACAAACAAGACTGTTGTCCTCTCTCCTACCCAGCATGAACTGTCATCTTTGTTCCCGCTCCAAGTGAGACTCTAGCACCAAGTGCCTACCTGGGAACATCAGATGTAGCCTGGGACACTGTGGCACAAAGCTGCTAGCAGAGTCCCCAGTCAGGCAGGCCACCACGTCTTACGTTCTACAGAAATGTCTAAAGTGTGCTTCTCCTTCTCGCTGACTTAAGTCTCTTCTCTAGCAGCACTGAATTCTTTGTGTTATTCTTTCACTCAAAATCTTCCCCATGTTTCATGGCTTCTGAATTCACTGCATGGTCCGTCTGCCACACTGATCTGTGGGGAATACTCCATATGGATGCCAAGACACTGCCAGCAGCCTCCGGATGTTCTGCAATTATACATATAGCCTGTCTTTGAGGCTCTATGTCAGATTCCTACCTTAGTCACCAAAGATATTTCCTTCTTACTTTCTACTAGTTGCAGGCCTCTGCTGCCCCTGCCAGCTACTCATGCCTACTTTTGCAGTGCCCTGATAGCTCACCTCCAGAGCCTTCTCTGGCCTCCAAAGGAAATCACAATATCTAGGCACCTCAGCAAATGATTTTTCTTAGGTAAAAAAATGACATCAGCTTGTACCTTGAAATTTCACTCAAAAGGAGGCTCAACTTTGACACATTATTTTCAATGAAGCCAATCATTTCCAGCTCCCGGAGGGTCAGCAGCTGCTGACGAGGATATATGATCTGGCACTAGGGAACAAAGGCAGAGCAGTTATGACAGAATCCACGTAAGAGAAGGTTCAAGCACCATGAGCAGAAGGGCCAGTACTTTCAGAGCCATCAGAAACTTTTATGACTTATAGAAGTCCCAAATAATCACTCAAATACAGGCACTAGGAAACAGCTCTGCACACTCTTAACATTCTTCCCCAACATACATGTTTGTCAAAGATCAGTATGTAAACAATAAAGCACAGCTCAGACCAGTAGCAAGCCAGATGCTGAGTTTTAGTCAAGATATTTCCTAGCTACGTGTCAGGCCTGGGGGGAATGGGTGGGGGTTAGTGATGGGTGGCCCTGAACTGCTGCCTCAGTCCCAGTAATATGTGTCAAGCGTATAGGAGCAGAACTGGAATGCAGAGCTGTCTTCAAAACAACAGTCGTGGTTTGTTCTTCAGTTATGCCGACCACAGTGACAGACAAGGCAGTAGGTTCCTGAAGCTCTCTCTCAAGGGGTTGCACTGAGTTGTCAGGGCAGCACTGGCTGCTGCCACAAAACCTGTTTCTGTATAATGTGGAGGTTTGTGGGTAAAACAGGAAACAGGTTCCTGTCTGGGATTTTTACCTCTCTGTACAGCCAATGAATTTATACAGGCAGGCATACATCACGAGAGCCCAGACTGCAGGCTTCTGACAGAGACTCAATTACAAACCATCTGCCTTCAGAACCAGCCCAAGTTTCATTGTAGTGTCTGAATCTCTTGTTCTTTCTTTGCATATGTATGCGTATGTGGTGTGTGTGGCCAGAGGCCAATGTCTTTCTCAATAGCTTACCATCTTTCACTTGAACCCAGAACTCACAAATTTGACTAGTTAGCTAGCCAGCTTGCTCCAGAGATCCTGTCTCATTTCCTGACTCCTGGGATACAAGTGAGTTTGCCACGTTTATGTGGGTGCTGGGGATCTGAACTCTAGTCCTCGTGCTTGGGTGGTAAGCATTTTATCCTAAACTCTACCTTAAGTTTTCATAAATTACCAAATGAGAAATTGGCCTCAGCTACCCCAAAATCTGTACCTCTAAGATAGATTTCAGAACATTCTAGATTCATGTTGAAAGTGACAAATGTCCCATTATTAAGGCTAAAAGACACATCAAAGGCATCTCTGGCCTCTAACATATCCAGCATCTCACTGGACCTGCATCATGCTAAGCTCTTTGGCAGTAAGGCAGCTCCACAGAGGCTCCCACCCTTCTCCCAGCCAATGCCAGGATGCTGGGCAGGATGCCGATGCCAGAACAATGCTGGCCTGAGCACCCTTACTGGGCTTCTGGCTAAGCTGGCTCCCTATTCCTGCCCAAAGGTGACCATGCTGTTCTTGGTGAAGACAGCGAGGCCCACTATTTTATCAAGTGTCAGGCAGTTGTTACAGGATGTGAGGACAATTCCACTCTGCTGAGTAGGGGCAAGGACTTTACCACAGCAATCATTATAAATCTCCGCCTATTGGCTTGCTTGGTTACTGCCCAGGTTCCTTATATTCCAAACTCAAAAGTATGTTTTTGCAGCATGAGCTGTCAGATGCAGGTCTGAGAACCACAACTTTCAGCCAGTCATAGCTCTGTTAGTATAACCCTGAACTATATCCTTCAGTCAGATGATACTCTGAAAAGCAAGACTTCCATTGTTCTCTGTGTAGGCTAAGAGAATGGCCACTTTCATAGTCTATGGCAGGCTCAGAACCAGGATGTACCTAATAGTCTGCCTACAACCCTGTCACTAACCTACCTTAAACTCAAGTGTTAATCATACTGTACCAAAAGACAGAAACATTATTAAGAGTATGGTATAATGACATATGTAAATAAAAGTGTTCTTTAAAAAAAAGGGGGGGGATGACATTATTTTATAGGTTAATTCAAAATTTGGGTTTTTTTTGTTTGATTTTATTTTTACTTTTACAGGAAATAAAGATAAAAGTACTGAGTCAGCAGGCAAAATTTAGATGCAATATAACTATAATTTTCAATGCATGGTAAGATGCCTATTATAAAATGCCTTATTGGAGCTAGCGTACAGTAAGCGATGCTCAGTAACTACTAACACGTACAAATGTAGAGATGGTCAGGAATGAAGATAAAGAAAGGTACCTTCATCAGTTCTTCTAAACAAGAGAGGTAGATTCTGAAGATGGCTGCTGTAGAAGGGGGCCCAATGTACTGCTTGATGTCAGCTCTGTCCACAAAAGCCACATCAATCTTCTCAGTGATGTTGGAAGTGGTCAGGATCACCACATTGGAATGCCTGTGTAGTAAACAGGCAAGAATGAGACAAGTGAGCTTTAGAGGCCCCGTTCTGGTCTGCCGTATTTGGCAGGCACGTGGGTGGGAGGAACGGTGGGTCTATGAGTGCAAGAGCCTATCCAGATGTATTTCAGAGTAACCTTCCAACACAGCTTTCATGTCCTGAGAGCCCTGACTTGCAGCAGGTCTATGACCAACAGACACTCTCAAGGCCTTTGCTTCTAGAAAGCTGTGGTATTCTCTATTTCCATTGCTGTCTCACCTGCTTCAGCTCTGGGGAAGAGCTCACTGTGCAACATCCCTGACTACCCACCAGAGGAACCTGAGGCAATGGAGATTATCAGCCTTGAGTATGCACAGGGTAAAAGACACACCATGGGGAAGTGTCCTCCTCACCCCTCATCACCTTTTAACTAGTGGGAGGGGATATCTGCCTCTTTGGCAGTGGGGGAAGAAATCACCACAATGGGGCACTCCAGGCAGGCAGGTGAGGAGGATCACAAGTCTTATAAGGGATTCTAAGCAGGCAAGTGTGAAGTCTATCAATGTAACAGGAGACCTTGGGAAGGAGAGTAGACAGAGAGCCTGGGTGGTGGGGTAACTGAGCAGTTTAATACAGGATCTAGAAATGGTTTGAGACTTAGTATTTATCTAGAGTGTTTAACTGGGTGTTTATCTGGTCTGCGACAGGAACTTGGCACACAGAACTGGGAGTGTTACTAGAGAGGGTGGTGAGGGTTTCTGACAGGCCATTTAAGGAACCTTCCTTGGAGACTGTAGGAAGACACTGGCAGCAGAAGCTAAGGTGAGGGAAATGACCATGAATGAAGCTGCCTGAGAGCAAAATCTAGAGCTATTTGATCATCACATGCCTCTATCACTACTCAGGTGCACTCTCACTATTTATCCCAGTGTTACCTTTTAATCTGATCAATTTGAGTCAAGACAGCATTGACTACACGGATAGCATCTGATGGCTCTGCGCCTGCCCTGCAAGCATTTCGAGCAGCTGTGAGACTCTCCACCTGTGGGGGCAGAGCAACATGTCAAAGTTAAGAGTAACTGACACTTCACAGGCAGCTATGGATTGTGTCAACTACTGAATGAAAGATTGAATGGGTGGTCTATGCGTGCTACCTGCTCCCCGAAGCTCAATGCATTGGGCATCAGGAAAAGATCCACAGGAAAGAGCTTGCAATATAGCTGACCAAGTGAGACAGATCAGGCACTAGCCGCAAGAGGCAATTCAGGCAAAGACTGGCTACCTGTGAGTGCCTACCTCATCGATCAGCACAAACACCAGAGCTTCCTTATCATCAATCAAATCCTGAATCTTCTGGAACATCCTAGTAACCAACTTGCCACTCTGAAACCAAAGCATTCTTATTAGTGGTGCCAATTTGTAGTCAATTGTTACAGAAGCACAAAGGCACCACCACCACCATGGCGCCTCAGGAACTCACAGCATCAGACAAGATCTAGAGACGGCTTTAGAGATTAGCACAAATGCTACTGCTTTCTAGGACATGGAGAACTGAGACTGTGTGTGTTATTGTTCAGGGTGGCATACTGCAAGTGACCCCACTAACGATCACCTAGGTGAACTTACCACCCTGGGAATAAGACAAATCACTGATGGCAACACAAAAACTGAAGAGGGAAAGTTCCTGCCTTAATACCTACTACAAGAGCACATTGAAATGGGATGCCTTGGGCACACAGGCTTTCAGGGGTTAGGAGCACCCACAACATCATACTGGGGTAGTTCATCAGTCAGATCCAGAGTGCATGAGCCTAAAGGTTGCTTGGCAAAAGGGCACAGTCTAAATGAGACCACAGAATTTGGTACTTATTGGAGGCCTAGTGGGTGTCCTGCCTTACCCAATCAGAGGTCTGGGATATGACCTTGGAGGGTTGCTTTTTCCAATCTGGTCTGCCTCCATGTGCTCTAGCTCTGGAGCCCATCTCGGACCATAAGTTAGGTATTTTGTTGACTTTCTCATTTCACCTATTTCTTTCTAGAAGTTTCTGTGTTTGGAATGTTTGGTCAAGACAGAAGACACTGTTTTCCCATCATGGCTGACAATATCAATAATTAAAACATTTAATACTTACTTCTGAAAACCACTTAGAAAATAGGCTGTGGCTGTTTATTTCAATCAACTGGCCATACCGGTACCTGGTAAGAAAAGGTAAGGAAACTACAATTAATACACTGCCCTTGACACAACATTTTTCTATTGCCCACATTCTGAAAGTGAACTCCCACTCTTAAGATATGCAGTTCCATATAATCAATAATTGTGGAAAACCTAATAGGATGTAATTAACAAGTCCAGGTGATAGTAAAAGCAGTTTTCTCATATTCTCATTTGAATAAAATAGTAAAATATCTCATTTAATCTGCTTATAACTTTTATTTAAATAAAATAGCAGCATCAAGAAATTTTGGCAGGACCTACACATTTTTTTCTTCCATAATCCTCAAGTGTGACAATTCTCTTTCCCACAGATTCAAGCCCTGGAGTGCTCAAAGAGCCAAAACACACTAATGCTGCTGCCCAGAGAAAAGTCTAAAATGGCACGACCCCTCACTCAGAAATAGTACACACTCAGCCTCACTAAGCAAGGGGAGAGGAGGAAGCTCCTAAAACTCACTCACTCCCCCCCTCTCTCCTTTTGAAACAGTGTCTATATAGCTCTGGTCATCTTAGAACTCTCTATATAGACTAGGCTTCCCAGAACTCCTTATAGCTCACCCATGTCACAGGTGGACAGAAGAATTTCTTGCTCTTAAAAAATACCACTAGCGCCGGGCGTTGGTGGCACGCGCCTTTAATCCCAGCACTCGGGAGGCAGAGGCAGGTGGATCTCTGTGAGTTCGAGGCCATCCTGGTCTACAAAGCGTGTTCCAGGAGAGCCTCCAAAACAATACAGAGAAACCCTGTCTCGAAAAACAAACAAACAAAAAAAAACAAAAACAAAATATATATATATATATATATACCACTAGCATTCTATTTTAAAATCTAATTACTTTTACTTCTTACAAAGTGTAGAGAAAGGTGTTAAAAACAACATGACAAAGAGACGGGAGTGGTGGTAAATACTAAATAACATTAATTATAAAACAACAAATAATTGCAAACACACACACACATCCATTTCTAACTCACAAGACAAAAACAACTCTCACATTTTTCTAAGTGAAAGTTAAGATTCCTCGTAAGAATACTTTGCTTCTCTAGTGATGTAGAACTCTGCCTTTAGAGGAGGCCTTTAAAGGAAGGAAAGATGCAATTAAATCTATCAGAACAGGGCCAAGTTGCTAGACATAAACTGGTCAAAATAAAGTACTCTCTGTATGTAAAGATACTCCTAAGACATCTCTCTAAAGCAATATAGACATATACCATTAAATCTCATAGGAACCCCAACTCATACTGAGTAGCAGAAGCCAAACTTATCCTGTTTTAGGCAATGACAAATTAAAACAAGATTTAAAAAAAAAGTGGCACTTGGTAAGGATGTTGTTGAACAGACGAGTGACGGTGACTCCTGAGGGAAATGCTCTAAGAGCTACCCTGGTTGTCCATCCAGGCTTCTTCCAACTACAACCCAAGAGAACCCAGGCATCATCACAGTGCTGAAGAAACAAGGCTGGTGTTTATGTGGAGAGGTGCTAGGCTGCAGGGCAGAGTTCCACAGGGGAGGGGAAATGAAGAATAAATCCCTGAAACCAGAGTGTCATCTGAGTCTGATGAACACCTGAGCAGGGAGAAGCCATGAGACTTGAAGGCCCTTAAAGCTCATACAGGCTAGAAGAACCCAAGCTCCTATGGCCCAGGAGCTCCTAGGCAGAGCACAAGAGCACACACCAGGACAAAGGCAAGATTAAACCCAAACCCTTTCCCCAGAATGCTGAAAACAAACCCTAGAAAGACACACTACATGTAGTTGAAAAGGCTACCAGGATCAAGTCAGAAAGTTTAAAAGGAATATGTAAAAGTCTAGATACTTTAACCACAATGTTTAGTATTTATGCAAAAAAAACACTTGACAAGCTGAATTAGTTGTTTTTTCATCAAAGACAGACAGACAGCTGTGTCTTCTAAAAGATTCCAAATACATTCTGATTGACAACAAAGACTAAACACACATGCCAGGAAGTAGAAACATATGACCCATAATTAGACGAAAAGTCAGTCAACAGAGGTAACAATGCAATTGATAGGCAAGATCATCAAAAGTCATATAAACTGACTCAGGACTTTAACAAAAACATATGAAGGAAAGAAGAGGAAAAACGAGCCAAAAGGAATCTTCACAGAAAGAAAAGAAACTGAGAAGTAAAAGAACTACCGATTGGGAGTAAAAGCAGCCTAAAATCCATGGGCTTAAGGGTATAGCAATAGAAACTGTTTAAAATTAAGTGTAGATATTTTTTAAAAGATGAAAAAAGAGAGCTGGCTCAGAAGTTAAGCGCACTGACTGCTCTTCCAAAGACCTGAGTCTGATTCCCTGTACCTACACGGCTGCTCACAACCACTGAGACTGCAGCAGTTTAGGATCAGATGCCCTCTTTTGGCCTCGCTGGGCACCAGGCACACATGTGGTACATAGACATGCATGCAGGCAAACACCCATACACATAACAATAAATAATGTTTTTAAATTAAAAATCTGAATTACAAGGGCAAAGTCCATGGGTGGTCTGTGGAACAACACCAATGAGTCTAATACACTGAAGAACAGATTCCCAAGTCATGAGTCATTACTACAGTCCTCAAATGTGAAGAAAACAGAGACCCCGAACAGACAGAGAAGACACCTGTCAAATGAGGTGGACAGGTAAGCCCAAGGGAACATCAAGTTCTTCTCCTAGTAATGATAAAAGCACATGAGCAGAAAGTCTGCTCAGTATCTAGACCTGCCATCCATGAGCAGAAGCACCTTTCCCGAAGCCCACATGCACTGCAACAGTGCCAGGCTGCTACCCGTTGGCCTCAGGGCACTTTATAGGACTGAATCAACCCGACTGAGTATAGAGGAATCAACTGCCCTACAAGGAAAGGAATCCATGAACAACTGAGAATAAAAGTTTCAAATGTTACAAGTCTTGTGCCTGTTGCTCTCCTCTCTGCTGTCACCAAAGTTACCTGCTTGACAGTCTGATGGTCAGTTTTTGTGCTAATGCTTTACAAAGGGATGTTTTTCCAGTTCCTGGAGGACCTGCAATAATAGGCAAGGAAATATATTCAAGTCAGTGCTATAATACTACTTTTAAACATAGTTAAGCGCTATTGCTGTTGATGCTATAAGTATTAATTGTGATGTTATAGCTTAAAAGCTCTAGGATCTCACTATGTAGCTCTGACTGGACATCACTAACATGGATTTCTGGTCTCCCAGCTGACACACTGCTTCCTGGCTCCTAACTTCTCTAGGCATACTGCATATATACCACTTCTGCTCTGAATCTTAGTGACACAAACCCTTGTCTCCACACTTCCTCTATGAAGGCCACACTTATCAATCCACTTTCCAAGACCAAATACACCTTTCTTAGTAATTGGAGATAAAAGAGTGCCTTCTCATTAGGACCATTACTGCAGTGGCATCCTCCGCTGTAGATAAACAAAAGGGGACCTGCATTCCACATCAGAGCCAAAGAGCAACACCAGCTTAGAGATGGGATGTCACTTAGATCCATTTGTTAAGGGTCTGGTGCCCAGTGGTGCTATGGGTGATTGCAGAAAGAGAGTGAAGAGGGGTTTTAGGTCAGTGGGATGTGCGCCTGAAGGGCACTGAAGGACTTTGGTCTCTTCTTCATTCTTGGCTGTGATGTGACTGCTCTCCCACGTGCTCCCCACAGAAATACGACTCACCACAGGCCCAAGACAGCACAGCTAATAGATCATGGACCAAACCTCTAAAACTGTGAACCAAAATTTTGAGACAGCACTGGCCTCAAACTTGGAGATCTGCCTTCTTCTGCCACCTAAGGACTGAGATTAAAGGCCTACTCTACCATATCCAGCTTTTTGGTTTCTTTTTTCTTTTAAGGATTTATTTACATTTTATGTGTAGAGTGTTTTATTTTCACCTGCATGTAAGTGCACCATGTGCATGCAGTGCCCTCAGAGGTCAGAGGGCATCAGATCCACAGGAACTAGAGTTACAGATGGTTGTGAATCACCATGTGGGTGCTGGGACCTGAACCCCGTCCTCTGCAAGAGCACCAAGTTCTCTTAACCACTGAGCCATCTTTCTAGTCCTTAAATGACACTTTTTAAAAGATCTTGGGCAATCTCACAATTATAATTAACATAAACAGGCTAATTACCCTAAGCTTCTCCTTTGCTATACTGTGGGTACTGTCTCCACTTTGCTCTGTCTCTATGTAGTGAGGAGGGTGGGAGGGTACAAATCAACGATATTTCCTTCTAAGAGGGACCTGACAGAGTTCCTTTTTAAAACATGGCTTCTGTAGCTCACACTCACAAAGAGAAGCAGGAACTATTACACACAAGAGAATGGAGACTTGTTCTATCCTAAGCAATTATGTTCAGCTGGGAAAATTAGGTAATCATTTTATATAATATATATAGAGGGAAGCAAACAATTTGTCCCTAAGAGATGCCAACTAGCAAATTTGCCAGACTTAAGTGAATCAAATCAATGTCACAGATACAGAATACCCACGAACAATTTTGACTCTTTCAAAAATAAATAGCTATAATATTATAGAAGGAATAGATGTAAATTATAAATCAATTCTAGGCCATTCATTTTGTCACATGAAAACCCGCCCACCTCACCGTGCAGCAGCACCACCCGGTTCCAGGTGATGAGGTTGCTGTCCACATTCTTGTCTGAGAACAGTAAGGCGGTCATCACATAGTCAAGGAGCTAGTATGGAAAAGCAGAAAGGCAGATAAGGAACTTGCAAGGCAAAGGTTCCCAAAAGCATGCTTCAAGTCTTGCTTCTGAACAAGAAAGGGGCGGCCAGCATGGTCACCCCTGAAAGGACTGTCACCTTCTGACATTCAGAGACCATCTACCATCAGCTGCTATATCACTCTACAAGGCATGTTTAAAAGGGAAGAAGGTGAAATACCATTTGGTACCATTCTAAGAGGAGAAACAGTCATTACTTTTACTTAGAATGACAGTGTCCAATAAGATGCCCAAGGTACTTATCAGATAGAAGGTGACTTTGCAGCAGGTAATTGGGTAACAACACAGCATATCTGTCAGAAGCCCAAGGAGTGCCTTCACCAAGTGACAGTTTTCTAGTTTGTCCCCCAAAGGGCTCACAGGAAGAATGCAATTCAAAACAAATTTCATCCTCTTCTAGTCTCTGACCATTTCCTTCCTAAAGGATGAACTCTATGCTAGGGAACCTCTGATGGACTGCATCCAGGATGTAGGCCATTGGTAGACAGGATTTCCAAAAGCCTACCTGAATCAAGGGCCATGGAGAGGCTGGAGAGCAAGGCAATAAGTACATTCTGAGAAAAAGCACAGCAACTTACATGTGATTTGACCTCCACGTCATACACGAGGCTGTCCCAAAGCCCATGAAATTCAGCTGTCAGGGAGAATGAGACAAAACTCAATTTTAAGACCTTGAGCCCAATGTTTCCACGGCTTCCAACTGCAGATCAAGGCAGATACAGCAAGTGCAGTTTTTGTTTTTCAAAGTTCAACTTTTCTTAAAAGTACAGATTCAAAATAAATGCCAGTCATATAATTTTACAGATAAGTGAAGTAAAAAGATTATTCTTACCAAGCTCAAGCCTGTAATCCCAATGACTTGAGAGGCTGAGGGAGGAAGATCACAAGTTCAAGGCCTGCCAGGGTTAACAGTGAGTTCAAGGCTAGCCTGAGTAACTTAGTGAAACCTCTCTCAAACAAATTTAAAAAAAGGACCTGGCATGGGAACTCAGAGACAGTTTATGTGAGGCCTTTAAACCAATCCCCAATGTGAAAGAGAGAAAATGAATTACTCTTCATGTTTGGGGGACTAGTGCTTTTACAAATGAATCCTCCTCATCCCTAATGGCTAGCTTTCATAGTGCTAGAAAGGTCTATGCAAGGTACTGCAAAAGAAAGGTTAGCAACAGTCTTACAAAGCTGTGAGCCTTGGAAGCCACAATAATGACTAGCCTGCTAGGATATGCCGATTGGTGCAGTAGTGGACTAAATGTTATAGGAGGAATCACTTTCTGATTGGATTTAAGCTCACACACATCACAGAATGGTACCATTAAATGGACCAAAACTCCATGGCTACCTAGGCCCTAGGGGAGAACCTAATAGCATTTGTTAAATAAACACTGTACTAAACTACACCTCCCTGTCCAGTTCTTCTCTTTTCAGACCCAAAGATTGGTGCATCTTCCAACCCTCATCAGAGAAGCCTCTTTGTAATAGATGTAATCTCCACACAGAGGCAGACAACGGGCCAAGGGGAAGAACAAGAGACTGTGGAGTTTTTAGAGCTAAACAGGACATCTATATCACACATCTCACCCCCAGGCTCAGGAATTGTCAAGGAGGTGGAAAATCTTTTTTAGAGCTAGAATTAGTGGATGCTGCATTGTAACAGTATTTGTTGGACACAGCTCGTGAGATTCCACCCCTATCTCAGGAACTACGGGCAATTGATGGCTGCTAGGGGTAAGAGTCAGTTTTCTTCAGGGCTGCAGGCCCTTCTGTGACACAGCAGATGTCTCATGCCCATGCACATACAGGCAGCACAAAGTGGATTCAATGGGCCAAAGGGGGGAAAAGTACATGGTCCTGGGAGGCAAAAATGGTGGTGAGGATAGGGAGGAACTGGAGGGAAGGGAATGGGAGTAGATTTGATCAAAAAACCTTTACATGTATGTGTGAAGTATATAACACTAAAAATATTTTTCAGAAGGAAATTTTTCATTGTTTCATTACTTTCAATTTTGCCATTTCTATTATATCCTCCCGCTTCCTCTGGGTTTAGTTTTTCTCATCAGTTCCCTCTTCATGTATTTCCATAAATATCGGCACTCTGTATTTTTGTTTTCATTGAGTGCTGCATTTACATTTCCTCTTAGACTTGCCCTAAGCTACGTATTTAAAGTGTGTTTTAGACAAACAAAAAACAAATGGACTCCCACTGCATGGCAAAACACAAAACTCTAGTGACTGAATTAATCCCTGGACACCACCTGTTGGAACCTAGCAGCAAAGTCCCTGGAGAAGCACGGACTGTCATGGGAGGTCAGAACTGACCAGGAAGGGAGACCAGCTGGGCAGGGATAAGGAATGCAAGTGACACCCTTAGTCAGACACAATCTCTGAGAGCCTGTCTAAAGGGACAACAGTCTCAGCCCAGAAGCCTGTTCCTTCCTTTGCGATCACCACCAGTCAACTCTGTAGCATTCCCTAAAGGCCCACATGCTAAAGGCTTGGTCATCAGCATGATCCTACTGGGAGGTAGCGGAGCTCTAAAAGCCAGTGCCCAGAAGGAAGTTTAAAATCATAGTGCCACAGATCTCTAGCTCTCTCCCCTGCATCTGGCCACGAAGAGAACAGGATTCCTGTGTCACTCTCCCCTCCCCCAATATGGTGCTTTCCCTTTCAAAAGGCACGAAGCAATGGAGCCACTCCTTCATGAGCTGAAACTGTGAGCCCAAACAAAGTCTTCTTCTTATGCTAATTGTCTCCAACATTCACTATAGTGATAGAGAGCTAACACAGTGATACCTTTCTACACATTTCCTAAGAGATCAAGCATCCTAAAGTCTTCTCCCTAAGTAACTTGGCATGAAGTAACCCAGGTGCCCCAAGTTTCTGCCCCAGGCCTTCCTTGGCTGCCTCCCTCTACCACTACCCACCCATCAGGACCCTGTACCTGCAGGCAAAACCCAGTGACTTGCTGCAATTATATTTTCTGTTTCTTCTTCCAAATTTTCACTGGTGGGGCCGTCTTCATTCAACTGGAAGATGTGAAGGGCGATGGTGCATGCACTCAAATCAATGGGCTGGTGATGAGATTAAAAAGTAAACACATGTGTGCAACTCAGAACACCTTCTTTACTACAATTCTGAATGCTGATGTCCAAATTAAAGACCAAGGCATACTGCTGTTAAAAACTAGCTCTTAGATTAGTTTTCATTTCACTGCTGATCTAGGATTGGCTCTTAAGGTGTTTATCCACTTCTTTCCTTTGAGCTCACACCCCAAAACAGATTTCATTATGTAGGGTTATCTGCCTGGAACTCCTTATATAGGTCAGGCTGGCCTCAATGGAACTGCCTCTGCCTCACAAGCACTGGGATCACACAGGTGTGCTCCACCATTCTTAGCAAACCTAAGTTTAAATGATTATTTTAACACTATGAAGTAACATGTGAGGAAAATACCAACATTTATATAAAGAAGAAATCCCCTAAAACCAAACTCAGAGATAGTACAATTACTCATATGGGCTTGAGCAGAAATGGTTTTCCATATAGTGTCCTTTCCATTTCTTTTTTCAGTAGGTTATCTTTATATTTGTCCTTCATTTAGAATGTCTTGTTTCCTTTCGAAATCAGAGTAGGATTCTGAGTTTCAAAATTAAAAATAAAGTACCACCTCACCATGACATCATGTCAAGACACAGGATACACACAAAGTGACTGATGACTTTAGCTCTAACTAAGGGAATGCTGTCAAGTATGTCCACTGAGAAATTAATGGCTTCTTCCCTTTTCTAATTTATCAGTTTGGCGTTAACTGGTTTGAAGTGGGATACTAAAGGTCCAAAGTGGAGGAACTGGGTAGGTGTCAGGGATTAAATGCTACCTCTTGAAGGGAAGCCACATATATTTTATGTAGAAGTATCCTACAAAGAATATCTGTATCTTTCCCTCACTTACTTATTAATCATTTACTTTTATCACTAGGGACTTTATATTATTTTGGGTCATGATTCAAAACTACATTATTCACTGTTACTGTCATTGTTCTAGATTTGGATACTGGGAGAAAATTTATATTCACCCTGGTGTTCATGTGAAACATCCTTATCCCTTTGCTTAAATTTGAATATCTTGACAATGTTCTGTCACTACAAGACAACTCAATCTAATTTTATAATTTGCCTGCCTGACTCTGGATTTAACTATGTAATCAAGAAACCTAAGCCTCTACTCCCTCCTCCTATCAATAAGACAGCCATGATGAAGGACCCAGTAGGTCATGAACCAACAACTGAACAAACATGCACACTGAGGTGAATGGTATGTTGTCTGGAAGTTAACAGCTACTGTAGTCTTACAAAATGGACACCCCCCATCAGTCTGTGGTCATATAACTATATTACCATATAATCTTCAAGGTTATCTGCACTTTGTTCTTACTAGTCTAATTTAGTCCTTAAATCCCTAAAGCTGGCTATTAATTCATTAGACTCACAATTTTTAATTTAAATGATCATGCTGTGTTTCCCTTCTGGTTGCATTCTAAGTTTACAGACATGAGGTTAGTTGTGTTTTGGGTCTTCTCTGAGACCTTTAAAATGAACTGGATTATGATCACAACTCCTCGGAAATGGAGAAAAAGCTAGGACTAGAAGAATTTCTAAGTTTTGGGCAAGTATTTGACAAAGAGATAGTATAGAATATTTGGTTTCCATTAAAGTGACTGAGTGGCAATTAAGAGAACTTTGGTATGACAAAACTACATAAAAAGAGTATGTGGTCTGTTAAATATTCTAATGTAACATAATTACTAGCAGCTCCTTTAATTGATGTCAAAAGATTCAGTTACGGATCTGAGATATTTTAAGTAATTTTATTGGATAGACTATTTCCTTGACCATGACTCAGTTCCCAGACTGAGTGTTTGGTAAAGTGTTGCTGTAGACTGATAGACTGCAGGGGACTGGAAACCACACAGTTATCTAACTGGACTTTTATCTACTGGTTATAGTCTGCAGATATTAAAAGAAGAAAGAGATTTCTTTATTTTTGACATGTATGAGTGTTTTGCCTGTGAGTGTGTGTGTCTGTGTGTGTGTGTATATGAGCGCGCGAGCCTGTATGTATCAGGTGTGTGTCTGTCTGTGTGTGTGTGTCTGTGTGTGTGTGCGCGCGCACACGCGCGCCTGTATGTATCAGGTCCTCTAAAACTGAAGCTATGGATGGTTGTAAGTCACCATGTGGGTGCTGGAAACTGAACCTGTGGTCTCTGCAACAGTAACAAGCAGTCTTAACCTCTGAGTCATCTCTCTAGCCATAAATTGGAGACATTTTTACATTAGTAAAATGATATTATATTTGTTGTATACGCATCAAATTTGTTTCAGCAATCTAATTGATAAGACTATCTCAGAGTGTTGGCTAGCAACAATGTGCAGCACATATTTGTTCATATATATGTAGGGAACTGCCTCATTATCAGAGAAGAGAAATTCCTATAGGTGACTGTGTAACCATGCTGCTGGAACTTTTCAGAGTACCCTAAAATTAATCTGTGCTAACCTGCCTTCTACAGCAACGCTGAAGAGCACCATCCCGTCAGCTCCTAAGCCCTAGTCAAACCAAGAAGGCCACTAGATTTTAGTATTCATAAAAGTAGACAATATCCAAACATTAGGCTTAGCAAATGAATGAAGTCTAGTCATGTAGCCATGGCTGGCTTAGAATTTATGTAGACCAGGCTGGCCTTGAACTCACAGAGATTCTCCCGCCTCAGCCTCCTGAGTGCTGAGATTAAAGGCATGTACCATTGAACAGGGCAGAAACAAAATTTTAGGCCTAGGGTTCATTTTTCAAAATTAATTTCTATTTACATATTTATTTTCTCTCTACGATACTAAAGACTGAATGCAGGACCTTGTGCAAACTAGGCCAGAGCTTTACTACTGGCTATATCCCAGCCCTCAAAGTCAGTTCTTTATAAAGCAAGAGTCATGTAAAGTCACTGAAGCTTCCTCCTTAGGGATACACTTCCGAATGTTTTTATACTGGTGATAGACGGTCCTAGTGCACAACACTGTCAACACAAAGTTTCCAACTGCCCAAAAATGAGATCAGAAGATAGTGGGTAAGTCATCTTACATGAGACGAAGAGGCAGACCACCTTATTTCTGTAACTTCCACAAAATCTACTGTCCTAACACATTCTGGAGCACACCATGACACCTGTTCATGGACAGAAGGGAACTCAGGCTTCCAGGCACAGTCTGATATTTTACAGCTCTGTACTCTGACTCTCAGATTCTCATTCTATCTGTTCCTGGCTCTGTCCAGAACATCCTGACACATGGTATCCTTACTAGCACCTAGCCCTAGGACATATAGCTAAGGCATATCTAGCCACCAGATCAATGTCAATATTAGGTATTTGTGACAATTACCTCACACTCCCTAAGGACTCAGTGATGAGCATGTGAACTAGGAATTTACCTGAGGGTCTTTGGCCTTTAATTCTGTGTCAACAATAGAAACAGACTGAACATTTCTGGCCAGAAAAGGATCATCAAACTCAGTCCATGTGTAATCTCCAAACACAATGTTATGCCTGTTGAGCAGTTTGTGAACATTCAGCTTTATGTCTTCTCTTTTTGCAGTACTAGAAAAATAAATGAAACATGCATAAAATATCTTAGTTAAAAAAATCATTGAAGTACAGTGATGTACAGTTGGGGTATGCCTGAAATTCCAGCAGGAAGGAGGCTGAGACAGGAGAACTTGTTTCAAAACAAGCAAACCAACCCCAAAAACACCACCACCACCACCAACCACACTCACACCAAAACCTTCAGACTTCCCACCATCACCCCCTCATTAGAAAAAGGAGGTGGCACTAGTTCCTGACATGTCACTGTGAAGACTAATCAAAATTCAGTGCTTGGACAAGCCTGAAACATAATGAGCATTCAATCCATGTTAGAAGCCAGTGTACGGGAAGGGATGAAAAGTGCATGGCTGTGGGTGCTAACTCGGAGTATGTTCATCTTTGTAACAGGAAATCCACCACCGGATAGATACAGGCTTAGTAAACTAAACATCTATCCTCCCTGCTCTACTGACACGCCGCTTTCTTGCACCCCTGACTGCCTGGAGATCATCAGTGTCTGGGTAAAGCAGCTCATCATCTATGCCATCCTTGTTAGACCGCGCTCCACCGGCCTGTCAGTTGAGAGCTGTGGGGTCCTACCAGACCATGTGGGATGGCGGGAGGGTCCTGATGGGATACGCGGGGCTGTGAGGAGTGAAACTCACGGCCGTGTGTGGTGGGGATAGTCTCGCGTCCTACCGGGTGGGTTAAAGCCAGGCTGCCCGTGCTACGTGAGGTGCGGCCGTGAGCTGCTGTGGGACGGGATCCCGCTGTGGGGTGAGGTAGTGCCGTTCGCAGGCACGCGTGGTGGGGTCGGGCCAGGTCGCGCCCCGCAGAGCTCACCTGCTGCTGCGCTGCAAAACCTCCACATGCACCGCGGGCGACTCCACCACGCAGGGAAGCGCTTGCTTCAGGTCGCCCACAGCCTCGTCCATGGCGCCGCCGCCGGGAGCCGAGGGAATGCGGCCGCAGTCGCCGCCCCACGCCGGGTGGAACAGGCTCCCGAGCCCGGGTCGGACCCACTTCCGTCGCGCGCGCCGCGCCGAGCCTCGCGACCCGCCCCGCCCCGCCCGCCGCGCTTCGAATCTGCCGCGCGCCGAGCACCGCCCCCTCACCCGGAAGTACTCCGCGGTGGCGGAGGGGGCCACTTCCGACTGGCGCAGGTCGGGCTACGGGCAGCCGCTTCTCCCCCGATCCGCTGCGATCGCAGCCATGGGCAAGAAGCACAAGAAGCACAAGGCGGAGTGGCGCTCGTCGTACGAAGGTGCGGAGCCCGCGGGCGGGGTCTAGGCTGCGGGGACTGGCGGGGGACGGTGTTCCCGGGGAAGGGCGTGGTCTGCGCTGGGCGGGGTTGCGGAGGAGGTGCCTGAGGCGGGCGGGGTCCTTTGAGAGGGAGGGGCTTCAAGCCGGGAGAGGGCGGGGTTAGGCCTGGGGCAGGGCATCAGCTGCTTTTCCTGGAGATCACAGGAAGAGGCCATGGGCTTCTCGGGTCCTGTAGCCCCCGTGGACCTCCCCTCTGACACCAGGAAGACCCACAACACAAAGAGGGACTTCCGTAAAGGAACTGGGGTCTTGGGTCTCAGGTCGGGGTGATGTCCTTTCCCCTGGTTGGAAGGATCACCTGAGAAGCCTCAGCGGTGATCATGTGGCTTGAGAGAGGACCTGAACACAGCCCTGTCAGTTCGAGAGCCCACTTCTCCCCGTGGTTTTGACAACTCCCTCCTGTGTAGATTCGTCAAGGCCAGACACCCACCCTTGTGATGCTCACAGGGGCGCAGTAGCCCCACGCAGCATTTTGTAAGTCTGACTCCCGGTCTGTGTGCAGATTACACAGACACACCACTGGAGAAGCCTCTGAAACTGGTGCTCAAGGTGGGAGGCAGTGAAGTGACAGAGCTCTCAGGATCTGGCCACGACTCCAGCTACTATGACGATAGGTCAGACCACGAGCGCGAGAGACACAGAGAAAAGAAGAAGAAAAAGAAGAAGAAGTCAGAGAAGGAAAAGCACCTCGATGAGGAGGAGAGGAGGAAGCGGAAGGTAAAGCTGCAATGGCCTGGCCACACCCGGGCTTCCAGGGCGTCTTTGGTGGAGTGTCGGGCATGGGTCCTCCTCCCAGTCTGCCAGGGCAGAGGTGTGCGGGCCTGTAGTACCCATCTAAAGGAGCCCCTGCTGTCCTGTGGCCTCTGTTCTTTGATACAGGAAGAGAAGAAACGGAAGCGGGAGAGGGAGCACTGCGACTCGGAGGGGGAGGCAGACGCCTTTGACCCTGGAAAGAAGGTGGAGGTAGAACCACCCCCAGACCGACCAGTGAGGGCCTGCCGAACACAGCCAGGCAAGACTCTGTCCCTGGACACGTTTTCTATCTTGTCTGCAGCACAGCTATCCTTTTGTTGGGGGCATCTAATAACAGATGCCGTAGAGACCAACCATATGTGTCCCACAAACCCTACAGTGTTGCTTGTTTGTTTGTTTCTGAGACAGGGTTTCTCTATGTAGCCCTGCCTGTCTTGGAACTTGCTCTGTAGACCAGACTGACCTCAAAACTAGAGATCTGCCTGCCTCTGCCTCCTGACTGCTGGGATTAAAGGCGTGCGCCACCGTCGCCCGGCCTACAGTATCTTTTTTTATCTGGTTAAAGTTTACCAATTTTCAGTCTAGAAGTTCGGCTTTACTTGCTTTGTCATTCCAAACAGCACCTTCTGTGTAGTAGCCCTTCATGAGTTACACAAGAAACACATATAGAAACATGGGAATTCTCCATGGGACGAAGAGACCCCAACACAGGCTCTCATTGTTGTAAGCATTTTGACGGATCGGATGGGATGGACAGGGATGGATTATGGCACTCGGGAGCCAAAGAATACTGAATGTTACAGCTTGGATGGAAAGATATTCTGGCATTCGAGAGCCAAGGAATACCACAGGTCACAGTAAGCATAGCAGCTCACAGCCTTGCTTCAGGGGGAGGCTTCCCTAGTGTATCAGCTCTGCTCTGGCAGGAGAGGGTTTCCCAGCTGGGGATATTTTCCCAGTGTAGCAGTTTTGCTCCAGCAGGGGAGGGTTTCCTGAGCGAAGTTGCTAGAGTTCGGCTCTGCTCCCAGGCGAGTGGAGAGCAGAGTGTAACCGCTCTGCCAGGGGTAGGTGTCCCCCCCACACACAACAGTGTTACAAGCCCTGCTAGCTCTGCTCTGCCCAGGGTCATCTCTACTCTGCCGGCAAAAGAAGATCTTCACCCAATCCTCATTCAAGAAATTTATTGGGAGGGAAGAATTCAGGAAAGTGGCTGCCCTCTTCCAGAGTGGCAGAGAACAGCGGGGCAGCATGAACAGCCACAAGCTGAACAGACACAGGGTTATATAGAGATTCTTAGGGGGTGGAGTTTTTCAGGGTGGGGATTGGTCAGATTTCAATCCCTGAGTTTAGGATGGTTAGATCTCTTGCTCAGGGATTGGTTAGTTTTCTGCACAGGTTAAGGTCAGATTTGGCTCTGGTTTCAGGACCAAAATGTGTTTCTTTCTCTGGTCTTCTTTTAGCCTTTTGGCTTTAGTTTTAGGACCAGGGTGCATTTCTTTCACTGGCTCTAATTTCAGGGACAAAGTGTGTTTCTTTGGCACTGGTTTCCGGGTCAGGGTACATTTCTTTGGTTCTGGTTGCAGGGCCAAAGTGTGTTTCTTGGGCTCTGCTCAGGGTGTGTTTCTTTGGCTGGCCCCTTTTCCCTACAGTGGTAGCTCTGGAGTTACTTAAAGTAAACTAAAGATGATATGTAGGGAGCAGAGGTCTTTGAGGCAGTCCATGCTGGGAATGACGTTTCAAGGAGTCTCAGTCTTGGCTCTTGGATTCCCTGACTCCCAGACTTCCTGTATAGGACTCTAATGGCTCTGTTTTTAGGCAAGAATGTTTCTTCCTACTTGGAGAGAAACTGGGGAGGCTGGGTGTCAGAACATGGGTTATCAGGAAAACTAATATTAGAATCAGATTGTGATGGCTACAGAAGAAATGTTCATCCCTGCTTGGGCTATATGAGGATTTTCTCTTCAGAATTTCATTCTTTGACTATGGATTTGACAACCCCCAATTTATCAGGACCTCTTGAAATAGCTATTGTAGTCCTTGTGGAAAATGGGCCATTTGCTAGTAACTCCCACCCCTGAGCAGCTCACTGTCATAGTAAATTTCCAAGAAACAACAGTCAGACACTGTCTCCAAAGTGGCACAGCTGCTGACCTCAGTGAATCTGAACGACACAATGCAGTCACTGTGACCTTCAGAGGGACGGAAGAAACTAGTGCTGTTTTGGACATACCCTGGACAGTCAGGAACAATGCTGTCAGACTGACTGTGAGCTCAGAGACTCAGCTGATACCCACAGTCCTCATGAGGTCTGTGTGTATCGTGTGTCTCTTCTCCTTCATAGTAAGAAGCAGGTACTGATAAACAATGAGAAGTCTCAGTGAAGTGCTGACCAGGGAGTCCAGCATGGACTCCACCCACACTTTTGCTTCCTCCATATCTTGTCTAGAGTACCAGACCGAATTGTCATGGGAACTGGAAATAGCGTTATGGGTCTTGAGACATGCTGCGTATCCCTTTGCCTGCCTGCCTGTGTTGAGGGAGCTGTGCCCCCAAGTTCTCAGTTCTTCCTTGGGCTTCAGATGCTGAGGTTCCACAAGCAGATGAATATGGAGATTTCTAATGAGGGAAATGAAGTCTTGCTGTTTGATTTTTGTTTCCTTGCTTTCTCTTTATAAACTCAGCCGAGAATGAGAGCACACCCATCCAGAGGCTTCTGGAGCACTTCCTCCGCCAGCTACAGAGGTAACCCCGTGTCCCACCTGTCATTGTTACCCATGGGACAGATACCCCACCTTCTCCAGATGCTCTAAACCCCATGTCCCACCTCCTGCCTCTACAGTACGCTCCCCCCCCCCGCCTCCTCCCCATCTTGAGACACTTCGAACCCCGAATCCCACCCACCATCACCAAAGATGCGTGACACTTCCCCTTCCCAGTCTAGCAGGGTGTGGACAAACTGGGTGCAAGCCACAAGGTTAGGGCCAGGGGGCTCATAGGCTGCATTCCAACCTGTCCCATCTGTCCCATCTGGAGTTGGTGTTGTGGTGATGCCTCCAGAGTATTGCCTGTCAGGGATAGAGCTGGGACAGTGTCATTTTTGTTGTATGTAAAATATGTGTTACATCCTTAAAGAGGCATATATGTTTTTTCCACTGAACTTTTAAGAAGAAAATTTAAAGTTTAGCTATATAAATTTTTGGGATTGTAAAAATTTTCATGTCACTTAGAAATTTAGACTTTAGAATCTGTTCACTTCGAAGATGTCTTTGCTTTCAGAAAAGATCCGCATGGATTTTTTGCTTTTCCTGTCACGGATGCAATTGCTCCTGGGTATTCAATGATAATAAAACATCCCATGGACTTTGGCACAATGAAAGACAAGATTGTAGCTAACGAATATAAATCGGTCACAGAATTTAAGGTAAATGAGTTTTACTTTCTGGAATAATGCTTGCAAAACGTGTGTGTGTGTGTATGTGTGTGTGTGTGTGTGTTTGTACATGTGTGTGTGTATGTACATGTGTGTGTGTGTGTGTGTGTGTGCTTGTGCCCGCTCACATACTGAACACTGTGTATGTGCTTCACGTCATTTTTAAAAATAATTTCTCTTAGATTTATTGTTTTTATTTTATGTGTATACATGTGTATGTGCACTACATGTATAACTGGTGCTTTTGGAGGTCAGAAGAGGGCATGTAATCCCCGGACTGGAGTTACATATACTTGTGAGACACTCTGTCAGTAGTGGGGAACCCTTCATTTTTCACTTCTGGTTAAAGCAGCACACATGTTGCTTCTTATTCCTATTTGTGTCTCTGTTCCTACCAGATAGGCAGGAGGGCTGGAGGAGAGAAGGGCTCGTAAAATATTTGTACAGTCTTTCTCATAAAATCTACTATTAACGTACAAAAGGAAATTCTAGATTTTGACCAGACTTAGACCAGTTTTCACTGGGAAATGCCTTATGCAAATAAATACTCATGGATTATTGTGAAA